AACTCTCTATCCCTCTCTCTTTCTCTCTGTGAAAAATCAATAAAATATAAAAAAATAAAAATAAAAAAATAAAAGAAGAACCAATGAAATAAAAAGCTGGATCCTCGGAGGAGGTGTGTGTGTGTCAGGAAACCTGGTGAACCTCCAGGAAGATGGACAGAAGTGAAAAGAGAAGACACAGCACCAACCCCAGGAAAGGAACAGAGCTAAGCTACTCTCACCACTCCAGCTCAACATAACACCAAGTCCTAGTGCTGCATTCACATTCGGACAAGAAAGAGAAATAGAAGGCATACCTGTGGGGCAAGAATAAATAGAGCTGTCCCTGTTTGTGGATAACACGATGATTTATGTACAAAATCCCAAGGAATGTACAGAAAAGCCTGGGACCAATAAGTATACTCCCCAAGGTCACAGGACACAAGACAGACACAAACATCAGTCCCATTGCTGTACTAACAATGAGCATTTGGAATTGGAAAAGAAAAGCACAGAGTATTCTTTAAAACGGCTCCAAAGGAGATGAAATACTTTAGTACAAATGTAACAAAACACATGCAGGATCCATAGGCTGACGATCACAAAATGCTGACCAGAGATGACCTTCTCAATGAAGACATACCATGTTCATGGACGGTGAGACTCACCACAACAGAGATGCCTACTCTCTCCAAATTGACCTGTAGTTTTTATGCAATTTTGCTATTAAAATCCAAGCAAAGTGTTTTGTTTTTTTTTTAATAGACATAGACAAACTTATTCTAGAATTTATAAGGAAAGCCAGAGTCCAGGGAATAACTAAGAAATCTTGAATTGTTTTTATCTATATTAAGGCCTACTATATGGTTACAGTGATCAACACAGTGTGATGCTGGCAGAGGAGAGATAGACAGATCAGTGGGTGGAACAGAGAACCCAGAAATAGACCCACACTGATTAAAAAAAAAATTAAGTTATTGATTTTTGAGAGAAGCTGGGGGGAGGAGAAGGAAGGGGAAGAGGAAGGAAGGGGTGAAGAACATTGATTTTTTTGTTCCACTCATTTATTCCTTCATTGGCTGATTCTTATGTGTGCCCGGCCTGGGTACTGAACCAGCAACCATGACTTATCGGGACAATTCTCCCAACTGAGCTGCTGGGCCAGGGCCGACCCCACTGACTTTTGACTAAGGTGCAAAAACTTAAGTCAATGGAAGAAAGACAGTCTTTTCAACAGATGCTGCTGGAACAATTTAATATACATAGACAAAAAAATAAAAATAAAAAAATAATTAATTAAATAAAAGGAAAAGGAAAGAAAAAATACCTTCTTCACCTTATACAAATATTAATTCAAAAAATGGACCAGGGACTTAAGTGCAATATGTAGAACTATAAAACCTTTAGAAAAAAATAGGAAATCTTTGGGACCTGTGGCTAGACGAAGTGTTTTGAGACTTGACATCAAAGGGAAAAACTGATGAAATGGACCTCATTAACATGAAAACTTGGCTCCCAGGAAGTCGAGTGGATAAGAAATGACCCTACACAGACTGGAGGAAATACGTGCAAACCGCATACGGTAGCACTGAGCTCACGGAAAGGGGTTCAACACCACTACCCACGGGGACATGTGATCAGACACCCCCCTCCACACGCTGAGCCAAAGAAGCAACACGGCCAGTGCCGGCTCCCGCAGGGCTGCCGAGTGTACAATGGTGCGGCCGCTTCGCAAACTGTCCTCACAAAACTGAACCGGCAGCGGGGCCGGCATGGCTCAGGGGTTGAGCGCTGACCTAGGAACCAGGAAGTCACAGTTAGGTTCCCAGTCAGGGTACACACCCAGGTTGTGGGCTTGATCCCCAGTGGACAGCGAGCTGGAGGCAGCCCATCCATGACTCTCTCATCATTAATGTTTCTCTCTCCCTCTCCCTTCCTCTTTAAAATCAATTAAAAAAAAAAGTTTTTCTTTTAAAAATCAATGGAAAAATATCCACAGGTGAGGACTAACAAACATAAATAAATAAAAAGAAAATCACTAAAAACTAAAAAACAAAACCAAACATGGAGCTACCGTACAACTGACCGCTTTTATCCCGGACACAGGGAAATGGATGTGCACCCTGAAGCAGGCACAGAAGTGGGAGGTGATCGATTGATTATTGATACATGAGACAACTTGTGTGAATCCCCAGGGCAGTGGTCCGCAAACTCATTAGCCAACAGAGCCAAATATCAACAGAGCAACGATGGACATTTCTTTTGAGAGCCATAATTTTTAAACTTAACTTCTTCTATATAGACTCGCCCAGGCTGTGGTATTCTGTGGAAGAGCCACACTCACGGGGCCAAAGAGCCACATGTGGCTCGCCAGCCGCGGCGTGCCGGCCACTGCCCCAGGGAGTGAAGCCGAGTGATAAAAGCCAATTCCAAAGGATCCCATTTTGCATGATGTCACGTGGATAGTATTCTTCAAGCAACAGAGCACAGAGTCGGAGAGCAGGTCAGTGCCAGGGCAGGGAGTGGCTGTAACAGGCCACGGGGCGTCCTGTAGGTGAGGGAATGTTCTGTGCCTCTCCCCACGTCACTGTCCCTCCCGCTGCACGCTGCACTGCGTTTCGCAAGACGCTGCCACGGAGGCAGACGAGGCGCAGGGGACACGGGGTCTCTGTGTCATTCCTCACAACTGCACAGGACGCTGTGATTATCTCAAAATTAAAAGTGAAAAAAACAAAAAACAAAAACAAGACCAGGTTCCCAGCTGTGCCAGCTACTACTTAGGAAACTGACCTTGAATTTCCCCCCATCTCCAAATCCTCCTGCCTGGATGGGACAAAGCCATCCGAGGTGCTACGGGCGGTCCATGCCCCGAGTGAGGGCCTGGCAGTGAGCATGGCGCGCAGTCAGTGCTTTAAAGACAAACAGCCTGTGGCTGGAGACCTTTCTGAGGCACAGACACTATTCCGAACAGCGTCACTCAACTGTCCCCCCATGACGCCACCCCTGGTCTCTTCCCAAAGGGACCTGTCCCCACAGGGCGGGGGAGGGTCACTTGGTTTTTGGACGCGAGCCGACCTTCTAAGGAGTAACTGAGACAGTCACAGGCAGCAAAGGGAGCTTCATACAATCCGGAAAGACGGGGGGTGGGGGGAAAGGTGCTGGTTCCCCAGCCCGTTTCTGTTGCTCAGACAGTGAAGCTGATGTTTCTTCGCACGGGGAAAAGCTTCACGGAGTTTTCTAAACACATTTCGACGCCCATCCAGACGGCAGCGTCTGTTTGCAAAATATCTCCTCTGCCTCGGAGGGGACAGAGACGAGGGGACAGTGGCCGAATCCCTGCCTGGTTCGGAGGCCGGAAGGGCAGAAGGGAAGCCTGGCCGGGCCCGAGGCAGCCAAGTGCGCTGCTCCCCAGAGGGAGGACGAGGCAGGGGAGCTTCAAACGCAGAGTCCCGGAATGGCCCCGGGCACCCGGCCTTCGGAGAGGGAGCGGGAGCGGGAGCCGGGTGGGCCGGCTGACTCACACGGGCTTCGGAGGGAGGTGAGGAGGGAAGGGAGGTTTTATCCTTCCCCTCCCGGTCCTAAAAGGGCTGCTCCTACGACAGGGAAACATGCCAGCAGCAGGCACGCACCGTGGGGATGCGGGTGCGAGGTCCGGACGAGGGTCTGGGCGTGTGCAGGCCGGGGTCCCAGGATCCCGGGCCCCGGGCCCCGGCCAGGAGGCACTAGCCCAGAAGCCAGGCCAGAAGCGGAGGGAAAATGTGCCGGGAGGGGGCTCTCCCTTTGCTCACGTTCACGCCCCGGGGCACCTCAAAACCCAGCCCCAGGCAGCCCTCTCCCTGTAATTTGGTTCCCACAGGCCAGGCTGGGGAGGGTGGTGAGGGACGGGCAGGCTGGATAAGAAACTGGAAAAAGGGAAATGTCCGTACTGAGCGGGTTCCTCCAGGTCCCAGCTTCAGGGCCCTTCAGCCACGGGCTTGGGGAGACACCAGACTGCTCCATAGGAGAGTGTGTGTGTGTTTCCCCTCAGGTAAGTTGTAAGGAATAGAATCGGGGCCTGAGGCGGAAGAACCTGGAGACCCACAGCACCTGAGCCTGCATTAAAAACGGACATGCAGGGATGCAGCCGTGTCCCCACCAAACAAACAATTACCGCAGCAGAGGGAGGGGCACCCGGGGACCTGCCCGGGCGGGGTGCACCCCGGTGGACGCGGCCCGGCTGTTTGGGAAGACATGGCTGTCTAACCTGTGACACTCCTCTGGGCGCAGGGCCCGGGAAGACGGGCTGGCCCGGCGATCGATCTGGTGAAGGGGGGCGTCCAGGCGCCCTACATGGTTGGCATTTTCCTGACCCAACAGCTCAGACCTGAGGCTGCGGCTCGACGCCTCTCGTTCAGGCGCTCGGTACACCCCGGGGGGGCAGAGGAAGGCCGGCTCCCGGCTGGACCTGGCACCCCGACATCGCGGAGGGGTGCCCCCCGGGCAGACGGGGGGTGGGTGGGGGGCGCGCATCCTTGGCCAGCTCCCCGAATCGGGGGGCACGTGGCCGCAGGAGGGGGCTGTGCCCAGGCCAGGGGGCAGCCCAGAGGCCGACAGGGGCGGGCGGTGGTCCCAGCCGGGCGCCACAGTCCGCGGGGCCGTACCTGGACACACCGGGGGACACCGGGACACATCTGGGCACACCAGGACACACCGGGGCGCTCCTGGGCACACCGGGACACATCAGGACACATCTGGGTACACCTGGGCGCTCCTGGGCGCACAGGGACACACCGGGGCGCTCCTGAGCACACCTGGGCTCACCGGGACACACCGGGCACACCGGGGCGCTCCTGAGCACACCTGGGCGCACCGGGCAAACCTGGTTACACCTGGGCGCAGGTGGGCACAGCGGGGCACACCGGACACACCTGGGCGCACCCGGCACACCTGGGCACACCGGGCGCACCTGGGCACACCGGACACACCTGGGCGCACCGGGTACACCTGGGCACACCGGGCGCACCTGGGCACACCGGGCGCACCTGGGCACAGCGGGGCGCAGTGTGCGGCGGCGGCGGGCGGGGCGCACGCACCTTGAGGATGTTGTCGAAGATGGTGTCGCGGAACTCGAGCAGCGCCTTCTGGTCGAACTCGCGGCCGTGGATGATGCGCATCTGCTTGAGGAAGGTGGACTTGCCGCTCTCGCCCGCGCCCAGCAGCAGGATCTTGACGAGCCGCCGCACGGCGCGCCGCTCGCGGGCCAGCCCCGCGTCGATGTCCCGGCTGCGCCGCCGCGCCTCGCGCTCCGCGTCGCGGGCCCCGCCGCCGCCCGCCCTGCGCTCGCGGCCCCCGCCGGCCTCGGCCGGCAGCAGGCAGCGGCTGAGGGTCCGCACCACGCCGGACATGGCCGCTCAGGCCATGGACCCGCTGGGCGAGGCGAGGCGAGCCCCGCGCGGAGCCGGCCGCTCCCTCAGGCCCGTCCGCCGCCGCCGCCCGCAGGCCCGCTCTCGCCGCCGCTCGGCCCGGCGGAGGGGGCGGGGCGACGCGGCCCGGGGCCCGGGGATTGGGCCGGCTGCCGCCCCTACGGACGAACGCGCCCTCCGATTGGCCCGTGCCACGCCGAAAGGCGGGCATCCCTCCGGCTTTGGGGGGCGTGGTCGGGGCCGAAAGAGGCGGGATCTTTGGGGTGGCGGCGCTTCTCATTGGGCGTCCGGGCTGAGGTTCTTTCTTTCAGAATGAAAGGGAGGCGGGGTCACCGAGGAGGCGGAGTGGCCGTCCGCCATGACCAATAGTAATTGCTCCGGGATCACGTCAATCACGGGGAACGTGCCTGGGATTGGGGGTTTTGGGAAATGGGGCGGGACCAGAAGTGCCAGGTGTACAGATCGTCGCCCTGGACTCCCAGATGGGACCGACCTGGGCGACCTGGAGCTCCGCAGTCTGCGCTCCGGGCTGCCCGGAGGCTGGGGAGTGCCGACGGATGAGGGGTTCACCTGCTGCTGGACCTGCGTCTGGAGAGACGGCTGTTCCTAAACCACGTTCCTGCCAGGGACGGCGGAGGGCGCTGGGCCACACATTTCAGACAAATGCGCCCTCAGAGCGGCCTGGCTCCGGTGCCTTTGCTCAGAGCTGACCATCAGTCACCGAGCTCCAGCCTCTGCAGCGCAGCGATGAGAGCGGGTCCAGCGCTGCTGGGTCAGAGCTGGAACCTGCACTGGACCCCGTGCTAGTTACCAGTCCAGTAACCTCTTAAACTGGTCCCTCCTTCCCCATCTGTGTTTTTTTCTTTTCTTTTAAAGTTAATGTTCTTTAAAAAAAAAATTAAAAAAATATATATATATAATTGAGTTTTTACAGAGAGGAAGGGAGAATGATAGAGAGTTAGAAACATCGCTGAGAGAGAAACATTGACCAGCTGCCTCTTGTACACCCCTCACTGGGGATGTGCCCACAACTAAGGTACATGCCCTTGATGAGAATCGAACCTGGGACCTTTCAGTCAGCAGACCGACCCTCTAACCACTGAGCCAAACTGGTTTCGGCTTTATTGATTTTTTAGAGAGAGAGGAAGGGCAAGGGAGCGACAGAAACATCAATGATGAGAGAAACATCACTGATGGGCTGCCTTCTGCACACCCCCTACCTGAGACCAGGCCTGCAACCCCCACATGTACGCTGACGGGGAATTGAACCATGACCCCTCTTGGTTCATGGGTTAACACTCAACCAACCGAGCTACACCGGGAAGATAGCAACTCCCTCACATGGCCTGAAGCTATAAGCTGCGAACGTGAACTTGTACAACCCGTAGCGCAGTGCCCGGATCCAGGCTCGATTCTGCGAAACGTTGGCTCATCTGATGACCGAGTCTTAGTGTGAGTCAAGCTCCCAAGAAACCCAGTCTCCTCACCTCCAGGTGACTGGCTAGACAGGGGAAACTCAGTCTGCTGGAAGGTAAACCGCGGCTTATTAAGAATTTTAAGAGTTTGAGCACAAATTGATTCCTGTCCAGCAGTGCCAAACGGGACAGGGACTCTGCCCCAGGATGGGTGCAGGAGGAAGACTTCCCGGAGGAGGCATGGCGGAGAAAGGCGGTTGTCGGATTGGCAGTAGCTTGGAAACGAGTGGGCTGTTCGTGACTGACTGTCCGCGTTGTGATCTTGTAAGCTGGCGGCATAAGCAGGCCGAGAGTCGTGTTTCCTTACCAAGGCCGCCTCGGCCTCGGGGCCACCGTGTTGGATTAACGGATCGGCCTGAAAGATCGTCCTGTCCACCCCCCTCGCCGGGAACAGGTGTGAGGTAAAGGCCAGCCACAGAGGACTGGGCCGAGGTGCCACAGGACCGGTGCGGACCTGCCCTCTCCGCCCTGCACGCCTGCACGGGTGGCTGGGAGCTCACTCAGCTCTACAGGTGGTTTTTGCAGAGTTATGACAATGCCAGGCGCTGAGGGCTTCGGGAGAGCAATCTGAAGACAAATAAAATGCAACCTTTGAATCAAGGAACGTGCATTTCAGCCCTAGCCAGTGTGGCTCCGTGGAGAGAGCATTGGCCTGCGGACTGGAGGGTCCCGGGGTCGATTCCGGTCAAGGGCGTGGACCTCGGTTGCTGGCTTCTCCCCAGCCCGGGCCTCGGTCAGGGCTGGTGCAGGAGGCAGCCAGTCAATGTGTCTTCCTCACGTGGATATTTCTCTCTCTCTTTCCCTCTCTCGTCCACTCTCCTGAAAAGTCATTGGGAAAATGTCCTCGGGAGACGATTGAGAAGCAGAAACAGGCAGAAAGGAAGAAACGTGCACCTCACGTCGGGCACCAGGCGCACAGGTCACCGTCGTGTGCAGGTCAGTGCGTCCTCTTTCCTGCCCGAGAACCGGGAATCAGTGCCAACGCTCTGGGCGGTCCTTCGTCATCCTTCACAGCGATGGCGAAGTTTGGTTTCTTTGTGAAAACGGCCTTCCACAGGAAAGTTAGATGTTCTTTGAGAGAACAGGAGGGAGCGTGCAGAGGCCCCGAAGGCCACGTTTCGAGGATGGAAAAGGGGAATGTGGAACCACCGAGGAGGGGCCCGTGGGACTCAGCAGTGGGCCCGCGTCAGCCCCCACGCGGCGAAAAGAAGTGAAGGGGATTCAGAGAACACGCTGAGCGGGGAGGTGAGGAAGAACCGAAGACCACGTCCGAGAATGAAAGCTATGATGATCGAAGGAGAAACGGAACAGATATGTTACGGCGCAGACTGAGACGCAGAAGAAGAGAATGCACTGAAATACAGATCCGAAAAAGATTACCCAGGATCCAATACAGAGATAGAGAGGCTACGAGATAGGAACGCTAGAGGAGGAATCTCTAACATGGACACAGAGTGGCCAGATGATGATGATCTCTGAACTCATAATAATCTGGCCACTAGGTGTGTGTGTGTGTTTGTGTATTTTTTTAATTTAAAAAAATTTCTTTATTGATTATGGTATCACATAATTGTTCTCATGAGAATAAATACATATATTTTTAAAATATATATTTTATTGAATTTTTTTTTTTATAGAGAGGAAGAGTTGGGATAGAGAGTTAGAAACATTGATGAGCAGAATCCGGTTTGGCTCAGTGGACAGAGCTACTGAAAGGTCCCAGGTTTGATTCCGGTCAAGGGCATGTACCTTGGTTGCAGGCACAACCCCAAGTAGGGGGTGTGCAGGAGGCAGCTGATCGATGATTCTTTCTCATCGATGTTTCTAACTCTCTATGCCTCTCTTTTCCTCTCTATAAAAAATCAATAAAATATTTAAAAAAGAAAAAAAAAGAAAAAAGAAACATTGATGAGAGAAACATCTACTAGCTGCCTCTTGCACACCCCCTACTGGGGATGTGCCCACAACCAAGGTACATGCCCCTGACAGGAATCGAACCCAGGACCCTTCAATCCGCAGATTGACGCTCTATCCAAACCCGTTTTGGTGAGAATAAATTTTTAAAAATATATATATTTTATAGATTTTTACAGAGAGGAATTGAGAGGGATAGAGAGTTAGAAACGTCGATGAGAGAGATACATCGACCAGCTACCTCTTGCACACCCCCCACTGGGGATGTGCCCGCAACCAAGGCACGTGCCCTTGACCGGAATCGAACCCGGGATCTTTCAGTCCACAGGCCGACGCTCTCTCCATTGAGCCAAACCGGTTTCGGCAAGAGAATAAATATTTTTGATTAATGTTCAACTTTGTCGAGTAACATAGTCATGCTAACATTTTTAGGGTGAACGCGAAAAGAAGAGAAAGAGTGAATGAATTCCATGTGAGCAAAGGGGGCACGAGGAAGGAGAACAAAAATCAGTGAATACGCAGAATGCAAAAACACAAAGAAAACAGGACAACCAGGGCACAGCGAGAGAGTGGGGACGAACCCAGGCTGTGACTCACCAAGGAAAACGCAAACAGGTCGCAACGGTGGCAGATAAAGACCGTCAAGAGACAACAAAGACAGGGCGCAGCTCCTGGCTTGGAAAGAACATACGTACCGGCCCAGAAAAGAGCAGAGGAAAAGAGAGAGTGGGGAGAGATCTACCAGGCGCCTGATGTGAAAGGGAGACGAGATAGAGGCGACGTCTGAAGCCAGGTGAGCGACAGTCCTTTCGTGCGGGGAAAGGCTCACTCGCTGCTAAGATGCACCGCGTCCAGGCACTCACGAAGCTAACTGCACGGCCTCCAATGCCGACGGCGAAGAAGTGGGCGGACCTCGAGGAGACACTGAAGAATCAGCCCTCACGGTGGGCGGGGTGAGGGTGCGGGCGGCAAACACTTCTCGCGCAACAGTGAACACACGTGGCCTACGGGAGATACGTTGAGCAGCGAGCCCAACAATGAGAGGGTACACGTTCTGCTGAAATCCAAGGGACATTAAAAAAAACTGACCACAGGAGCCCTGGCTGGTGTAGCTCAATGGTTAGAGCACCAGCCTGCACACTGAAGGGCCACAGGTTCGATTCCTGGTCCAGGGCACGAACCTGGGTTTCAGGCTTGCTCCCCAGGCGTGGGAGGTGACCGATGGATGTTTCTCTCACATCGGCGTTTTTATTTCTCTCTCTCCCCCTCCTCACACCCTCCTGTCCACTCTCTCTCTGAAAAGCATCGGAGAAATAACCTCAGGTGAGGAGTAACAAACAACAACAACCAATGACCATAGAATGGGCCACAAAGCCAGCGTCACTGCATGTTCAAGGACCGATGGCATACGGGCCGCCCTCTCTGACCGTGTGGCAATTTCCTTTGCTGTCAGGAGCATAAATATTTCTCCTGCAAAGCCCAAAGTAATGGAAATGAAGCATCCACCTCCTAAGTAAACAGCCAGCTGGTTAGACGGCTGTTCCCGCACGGCGGTGAGGAGATCCTGGCGGTGTGCCACTGCCCTGTGATCTGATTATCCTCCCCGCACGGCCGCCCTCCGGCAACGGGTCCGACGGTGCGAGCGGGCCTCTGGGCCGGCGGCCTGTGCCGAGTCCCCGCCTGTCCTCCGCGGGTGGATGACCCTGAGCGAGCTGCTTCACT